CAGGTCGCGATGTATTTCTTCAACACTGGGCATGTGACAAGTCAACACTTAAAATTAACAATATGATTGGTTCTGGCACTGGGGATCAAACTCAGGTTACTTGAGTTAATTTAATAAAAGACGAGCGCCCAGACACATATATATATATATATGCAACCAATAAAGGTGATTTCATTATATTCCATTTGATAACAACAGTATGAGTTATTGCCTTGAAAAATACTTCTTTCACTCGTACCATTGTGTTTTTATACTTCCTCTGCAACATTTAAGTCCAAATCTCTTAATATTTATATAACATACTAATAATATTAATATAGTAATATTGATGTAGAAAAAGACATATTATACAATATATACGTATTTTAAGAAACGAATTCGAATAGAAAAAAGAGTTATACAGTACAGGTTATAAATTAAGCTTAAGTACAGGTTTTTATTTATAACTAGAGGTGCCCGCGACTTCGCGTGGAATTTAAATTAAAAAAAATTCTAAAGAAGCCTAAGTTACTCCTTATTACATCAACTATCTGTCAGTGGAAAGTCCCATCCAAATCGATCCAGCCGTTTCAGATATTAGCCGGAACAGACAGACAAAAATTGTAAAAAATGTTATTTTGGTATATGTACCGTGTATACATTCATATGCATTTAGTAAAAAGCGGTTATTTTAATATTACAAACAGACACTTCAATTTTATTTATTTGTATAGATTACAAAAAAAATATAGTAGCAATATTTCAGACTTTATTAAATACCTATTCATGGACAAGCTTTGAAATGGACTACTTATTATTGTATATGTTAAAACTTTTATATTAACACGTGTTTTGTTATAGATCATAAAGGATCTACAGAAATTGCAATGATCAACGTAATTGAAAATATTAGAAATGGTTTCATTAGCTACAATTACCCTACAAATTTTTCAAATATTGGTAAAATAAATATATTAAGAAATTCAGTTAACAATAAAGAAAATGCTCATAAAAATGGTTTTTATTAGATGCCCTTTTTAGTTAAAATTGCATATGGTATGCTGCAAAGCATGACTGGAATTTCAGCTTGATAATTTTATGAATAATGAGACAATTAATTTATCAAGGGTCACTTCATGTGTCTGAAGATAACCATTATTTAAAAGGCCTGTAGTACTAAAACATTTATTTGCACTAGCAAAATCTATTCAGACAGTACATGGTTCGCCATGATGGTGTAATAATTAGTTTCGCAGCTTCTGTTGCTACTAAGGGAGGACCCCGAGCAAAGGTGGCGCTCTACGTGAAGGAATACTACGTCCCCGTCTCTACTACTAGGCAAGTAATACAATAAAACATTTTTGCTTAATATAACTTTATAGGGTAAATACAAACTTTGCCTTACTACGATGAATGTAGGGGATAAGGGTTTCAAACATTCTTTTTTACTTGTAATTCTTAATAATGGACATAATCACATTAATAACTTTCTTAAATTTTAGCAATTTTTAACAGTAAAACAAAATTAATTTATTGAAGCACGGAGGTCAATTGTGGTGCGGTATACAAGTCTTTTTTTTTGTATAACTGATGTTACGCTTTTAGTACTTAGACTATTAAAGCTTCATCGCACGCAGAACCGGTAGGCTAGCCAGAACCCACGGATTTGAGGCCCTCCACAGTGGATAGGGCCACGCATGTGTGCGTTAGTTGTTACATGTCGCCTACGGGCCATCGAGGTTCCGTGCCGACCGTGACCCCGATGGCCGTTGACTGCTTGGTTAGTCGGTGGCTGGCGGCGTTGACAACCGCCCTGAAAAGCGGGTGTACCTAGCGTACGCGTTGTTTTGGTTTCGCCGTGCTCGAAGGCGTGGACGAACTATGGTGTTTGTTGATGTAATAAATGAGTGTGTAGTCTTATTTGGCGGGACCCCGTCTTCGACCGTGTCGGTGAGGACGTTGCACGGGCGACTCTTGTTGACGTTTGCGTTAATGTCGGGTTGGTAATTTGCTGGTAATTTGCTTACTACCAGAGGGTTGGGATGATGTTCGGCTCTGTCGAAGATCCGTTTAGCGAGATCTTTAAAATGTTCGCAAATCGTCTGGAGTCTGCAATCACTGTGCAGGCCGACGTTGCAATGATACCACTGCGCACCGGTTGCGCGGCAGATGAACTTATTTTGTACTATTTGCAACTTGTACAAGCGAGAAGGTTTTATGTGGGCGTAGGTCATGCACACGTAGGACATAATAGGTCTTACGCACGCCTTATATAATAATAATTTGTGCCTTAAGGGCATTTTACTTGACGCATTGGTTAGGTGATAGAGCCGGCCGGAGACGAACCGGAGAGCTCTGTTTCTAATGTCGTTAATATGAGATGTGAATGTCATGCGTGAATCGAAAGGAACTCCTAGATATTTGACCTTTTTCTCCCAAGGGAGTGGTTGGCCATAAAGAGATATTTGCCCTAGCTTTTTGCATTGGCGAGGACCTTTATATCGATGTGATGGGATTTGCGGAACCAATCGCTGAGACAGTCGGCAGCGCTTTTGGTATGTCGCTCGTGTAGATCGTAAAAAGCAAGGGGAGAGGCAGGAGCCGTAAGGAACGCCTGCCTTGAGAGGGCGATTCGTAAATAGGGTGCCCTCTACTCGGTATCGAAAGGAGCGATTCTGTCTGATAGTGTGCACGATTCTGTCTGGCACGTTGAGTGCGAACAGTTTGTAAAGCAAGCCGTTGTGCCAGACCTTGTCGAAAGCTTTTGCAACATCGAAAAAGAGTGCCCCGGTGCTCAGGTGTTTGGAGTGATTAAAGCCCTTCAGAATGTGTTCCATCGGGCGGTATAATTGGTCAGGACCGGAGTGTCTAGCTCGAAAGCCGAATGGTTCAACTGGCACAAGGCCGTTTGAAAATACGTACTCTTTGAAGCTATTTAATATGAGCCGCTCGTAGAGCTTCTATACAAAAGTAAAATAAAGGCTGCACATCATTACATGACATTAATTTAATGTTATATTTAATAAAACACATGTTATAAAATATATAAAATTAAGAAAATCTATTTGTTTTCGCTTAGCACGTATAATCTTATAATCTACAACCATCGCAATCTCTTATTAAATAAATAAAATCTAAAATGGCAAATTACTCCTATCCTGAAACTCTATTCACTTAATTTTATTATTAATTTATACACCTCGCATTGCCGCCAAGCAAATGAATCATTAATATACCAATTCTGTAAATAAAGTCATTAATCACATTCAATGGAAAATAAACTAAGTAATCCGTATATTACAGAATCCATCCAATAATTATTTAAACACTAAAATCACTTTCGCTAACGATTTTTATTTCACACTAAAATTGATTTTTTTTAATAAATTGAGCTATTTTGAAAATATGCCATGTTTGGGTCAATCACTTGACAATACTTTAAAAACTTGTTAAGGTAAAATACACATACTACATGATCCATTCAGTGAGGGGAGAGGGGAGGTTAATCACAACAAGGAGATTAGCTTTTCATCATGTTGTCAATATCCTCTAAAGAAAATCTCGCGCTTTTTTGTGTTATCTGCACATATAAAATGTAAGTAATTGTTGTCTATACATCCTTACTAATATTATAAATGCGAAAGTTTGTATGTATGGATGGATGTTTGTTACTCTTTCACGCAAATACTACAAAATGGATTTTGTTTGTGCGTGCTCAGAAACGGCTTAACCGATTTGGGTGCAACTTTCACTCATGCATTGTAGTAAGCTTCACTTAATATTTAGTGGTAGTTTAATTTAAATCTGTTTATAAATAAAAAAAGTATATCAAAATTTGTCATAAAAGGGGCACATAGTATGAGTATGTTCCCTAACATTTATCTAATTATTAAACCAAATATAATATTTCGTATAAGATTTCGATCAGTAAAAGTTTGAAATGCATTGATATGCATACTCACTGCTACAGGATGTTGTAAACATCTGGTTATAAAAGGGTCTCGTTGGTGGTGGTGGTATGATGTTTGATATGTGGTAAATGGCGGCGAAGGCGAATTAATTTGAGGTCCAGGTATAATTGTTACTTTACCTTATGTTAGTACGTAGAACTTAGTTGAATAACGAACAGCCCCAGGTTATACAGGTGTTTAACTTTCTACCATCTGACCATTGACAAAACTAAAACCACAGTTTGCGTTGAATGTACGACTAGAAGCGGTAGAATACGAATAGAACTTAATGTTATAAGATATGTACAAATTGTGATTTAAAAAAAAAACATTGTCCTTACTATATGATAGGGCATTATCTTATGTTGTAAGGATGTTTTACACAAATAAACTTGATGTGGACAATCCGAAACAATTATCTATGGGTCACACAAAAGAGTTGTCCCATATGGGAAGCAAACAAACTGTAACTGCAATAAGTAATTACTGTGTATTGAGATGTTATATAATTTTGTGTATGTGTATAAGAGGAAAATATAATAATTAGAGCTATTATTACGTAAAACACGTGTTATTATTACGTAAAATTAAAGACTTTAATACATTAACTTCTAAGACGCGTCAGAATGTTGCATAATAGTTTTAATATTCTTGATAATGCAAAATAAATAATATGAAAAGAAAACCAATTACTGAACTAAATGACATTTTGCTTAATTCAAACAAAATGTCGTGCAATTAAATTTGGAATAACCTGTAGTAAAATAAATAATGATTCAGTCTTATTAATTGTCTTATGTATATCTTAAAAGTATTTAGCTTGATGAACTAGATAAACATGTAGGTTGTTATACTAAATTTTACCATCATATTATTGATATAAGGTTACCATAAAAATTTAAAAATTCATAAATAGATAGTTATGATTTAAGCAAGAAATAACCTTAATGTGTTCTTCAAAAACCCAAAATGGATCAGCATTGATAAGAGTCCTCAACAGAGCTTTTCCAGTTTCATTTGCTTCTATGCTTGTTTTATATATAAAACTTTGATCCTGTTCCTAAAGTTCTATGTAATCCAATTTCTGCCTGTACAAATCAATCCTGTGAAAAAAGGCATTTAAATTTTAGCAAACTTTTCGAAAAATAATTTGTTCCACCTAAAATAATAAATCTAGATAGTTTAAGCATTTAGTTTATACATCCAACATAAGATATCATGTGATTCATTCATTCGTTTCATAGCTAACATGTTAGGAATTTTTGAAAAAATTCGATGTTAATGACTCATTGAATGGGATTTTCATTCCAACATATATCTGACAAAAAATTCGCTTGATGTATTTCTTTTACAAATAATTACAATGCGCTCTGCACCAAAATACTCGCATAAACATTGATTTGTGACTGAAAAATAGAAAGTGAAACTAAATAATTGTTTGAACATAAACTCATGCAGAATATAGCAATTTATCTTTAAATATTAAATTGCGATATTTCCAAAAATGATATCGCGTTGAATACAGTTATTGGAATACACGTCAGCTACATTGGTGTCCTCTGGCTCCCTTATTTGGCATAGTCCAGCTGAGAACAAATCAAGCGTTAATCCAAATATAATTTATTAAATATAGCATATTTTCTCACACATAATTTTTTAAAAAAGAAATATGTAGATTTACAATAAAAAATATCTTTTTCTGCAGGTCAGGGATTTTAGCACACTAAAAATTCTGACAAATTTTGTAATTTTAAATGTTATAACATAAAAAACATATTTATTAAGCCTAGAAACATTACTAAATAAGCAAACTTAAAATATTGAGTAATTTGTTTTAAAAAGCATATAACGGTATTTGAAAAAAAAAATATTATTTTTTAAATATTGGCTTAGTTTGTTTTTTATATGTAACTGCAGTTTATTTTATTTGTGATACTGTTTTGTACAAGTTCATGCAAATTGTATTTCTTCATTTCACAACACCTTTAACACTACGCAAATGATCTTGATGCGGTTTTTTAACTACGTACAGCGATTCAAGAGGAAGGTTTACATGTACAATACAATGCACCCGTGCATAGTCGGTTTTTTTAAGTAACTTGACTGACGTATTACAAGATAGAATAATTACGCACGATATCCGTCCTGAGCCATCGTCATGGAAATTGATATAATATACAGGGAGGCTTTTTTAAAGGTGCCCAAATTTACGCAGGAGATTAAGACTCGGTATTATAATCGTTTATTGAAGTAAAAACAAACTTCTTTTTTTTCAAAAAAATTATCATTCTATTCCCTATAAAACAGGACTTATTGACAACGCGGTAGTCATTAATGCGTCCTATTCTTTTGAAACGAACTTATGTGCGTGATATCATGAATGATCGTGCGTAAAATAAATGAGTTGCCCATAAATCACGCACATTTAGAGCTACATTCAAATGAATGTAATTAATTAATTACAAGTGATTTTAAATATTTGTAATTTTTTATATAACATTATTTATGTTTGGAATTTAATTAAAAATATGGATACATTTAGAAAAACCTCCATATATAAGCTTATTTAGTAACGAATGACATATTTTAGATTGTTTCCGTGTCTTTGGAGTACAACTATTTTTATTAATTAGAGAGTCGCAATGTTAAAAAGAAACACCTGTTTTAAATCATACTTCATAACTTTTTCTTCAGTGACCATTGAGAAATATCAGCTAAAGCTAATTTTTTATGTGCTTATAGTCAAGACAAAGTATTCAAATGTAATATCGCTTAGCATAATAACTAATTTGTATTTATTTAAATTGATAAACTCACCATCACATAAATATGGCGATTTATGCTTCCCAGCACCAATTCTAGTTGTTGGTAATGGTGGTGGAGGCCTAGTAACGTCAAACCTTAAATCAGATTTACTTTAGTAGGTCTGTTTTCTTTACCTCAATATATAAATAAAATTACACATAATAAATAAAATTATACATACATTGCTGGCAAAAATGGTCTATTTATTGGAAAATCTATAGTTGTCCTTTTTGGAGATGGTGAAAGACGTCCTGAAAAATAAAGAAATAAAATACAATATAATTTTTTTCCATAAAAAATTATCATAAGAAATTTTGGTACATGTTCAGCAAATTTCAATGTTAATATTGCAGTAAAAAATATAAATGTTAAAGAAAAATCATTAATGTATTAATCAACAAGAAGAATTCGTGAGCGAAAGTCAAAAGTAATTTCTTTGAATTTGGTTTTCATATTAACAATTTATTTACCTGTGTATACAGATGCAGATATAGGAGCCACAGTTGATGGGATTGTTGGAGGGGGTGGTGGTGGTGGAGGGGGAAGAGGTGGTGGTGGAGGGGGAAGAGGAATTGACATTGCTGGTAACACAGGCAATGCTGGTAGTGGTGGTGGAGGAGGAGGAGCTGGTAGTGTGTTTGGAGGTGGCGGTAGCGGTGGTTTTGGGTGGGTGGCTGCTAGAGCAATTGTTGCAGGTGGTGATGGAGGCAATACATAGGACTTCTTTAAAGACATTGCTATTTGTGGAATAGATTCAAATTTTGTTGACCCTGACATTGATGCATGACGTTCCGCGAGTACACGTGGTAGATGTCCAGTCGTAAGAAATAGATTTTCCTCTTCTCTTGTTGCATGAAGATAACTGCAATCTTTTCTTACACAACCAGTTCGGTTTTGATGGTCGTGGCAGAATTTAACTATGTTTTTCATTTCCTCAATAATGAGTTCGTGACGAAATTTACATTTTGCATATTTGGTACATGTACCCCAGACATAGTTACGACATACTTGTTTCGATTGGTCATTTCGAAATTTCTGTTTCAGACCATCCCTTAGATGGTGGCCGAGGCTGCGAGGGCAGGGGTTTTTGCTGGCCATTTTGATCACCACGACAGCTCATGGACTAAGACTGCCTCTAAACAAACGAGAATTTCAACCACGAGATAATATTATATTCCTACAATTAACCATTTCAAAGAAAACACAAGCAATGGTTAGATCTCACAATGGTAGGCACTCAATGATATTATGTACAAATACGAGGTAGTTATGACACTGGCACACCGAAACTGAGGCACTTAAATTACATCAATTTATTTACGAACAGTACAAACTTATTTAATCACAAAGATAAGGTAAGACCGCTCGCATTACTTGGTAGGATTTATACCTTATTTTCTATGTAGAAGCATTAAAACATAACACTACACTTTGATTATATAGTTGACAGTTGACAATGTTGACATTGACAAGCATTTAATCTGATTCAGGGCCGAAGCTGTGTCACCAACTCTTGAAAATGTTTGTCCCTAGAGTTTAAGTCAAAAACCCCTAAAACTCCGTAATAAATTAATATTCACGAGCCATTTCAAACAAAAAAAGAAATTGACTAGATTCAAATAAATTTTGTTTTAAAAACATGAAAGTCTTTTTAGCCAAAGTCAGTCTTTTGTTTATTTTATAGATTAGCCTAGTATTTTAATTACATTTGAACGGTTATGTTATGTAAATTTTTACTTGAAAAATTAACCTCGTGGTCGTCGGAACACTTTGATCAACAATGATGAATTAAAGACAATTGTGATAGTTGATGATACTAAATCTACAGCGGAGCTAGGGATAGCTTTTGATGTTAGCATCAAAACAATATTGGTTCATTTGCGACAAATTGGCAAGGTAAAAAAGCTTGATAGATGGGTGCCCCACAAACTTAACGATTGCCAATACAATTTACGCGTCAAGACTGCCAAGCGCTAAACAGGTACAAAAATAAAGGAATTTTGAAGCGAATTATTACTTGCGACAAAAAGTAAATTCCGTTCGATAAGTTAAAGTTTGTTAGTTCCTGATTCAGCACCAAAGTAATGCCATAATCGAAAAATGACTCCTTGAAAGGTGATTGTGCTCTAGTGCTGATGTGATTCATCACAGCTTTTTACAAAATGGCATGAATATTATTGCAGATGTGTACTGTTAGAATTGTAAACAATGATGGAGAAGCTTGAAACCAAGTTTTTTCAATCGGTCGTCCCCACTGCTCCTTCACGATAGCGCACGACCCCATACTGAACAACAGACGGCGGAATTCTAAAAATGTGAACCATTAAAAATAATTCTAAGTAAAACAAATAAAATAAGTACCCTCAAGATGAACGTGATTACATACAGTAAAAATGTATATATGGTGATGATGTAACTTATTAGATGATTCATCATCATCATTTCAGCCTGTTTGAGTCCACTGCTGAACATCAGTCTCCCCCATAGACTGCCACGAAGTACGATCCTGAGCCACCTGCATCCATCGACTTCCAGCACATTTGCACAGGTTGTCACTCCATCTAGTGGTAGGTCGTCCTACACTGCGATGACCAGTACGAGGCTGCCACTCACGAACCTTTAAAAAGTACATAATATAAATATAATACCGAGAATACCCCGCTACATAGCTCACTAAGCGACTTTGAGCTTCCTCATACGGCCAGCAGTGAAGGACAACGTCTCGGCTCCGTAGGTCATCACTGGCAACAGACATTGATTGAAGACTTTAGTCTTCAAATATTGAGGTATATTCGACGAAAATATTTGCCAAAGTTTTCCTAACGCTGCCCATCCGAGTTGGATTTCGCCGATTGACCTCTACGTCGAAGTTGGACTTACCTAGCCGGACTAACTGTCCTAGGTAAACGTACTCTTCAACAACTTCGAGCTCAGTGCTCCCAACTACAACCGGTATATGCGTGACAAGGACATTAGACATGATTTTCGTCTTGTCCATGTTCATCTTAAGGTCCACCCTTTGGGAGACACTGTTGAGGTCATTGAGCATAGTACCAAGGTCCTCCAACGATTCTGCCATGATGACTATATCGTCAGCAAATCGAAGGTGGGTGAAGTATTCACCATGGATGTTAATACCTCGTCCTTTCCAGTCCAGAAGCTTGAAAACATCTTCCAAAGCAGCGGTGAAGAGTTTCGGGGATATGACATCACCCTGTCTTACACCCTTCTGCAGTTGGATAAGTTTTGTACTACTGGACTGTACTTGGACGGACATCGTAGCCTTGTTATACAAACACCTCAGCACCTCGGTATACCGACAGTCAATTTAGCACCGCTGAAGGGCCACTGGGCGGTACTCGAAAATTTCGACAGATTGGAAGGCTTTCTCATAGTCCACATCCGCCAGGCACAAAGGCAGATTATACTCTTCGGTATCTGTATAATCTTCCGCAAGGTGTGCATGTGGTCTATGGTACTGAAGCATTTTCGGAATCCGGCTTGTTCGGGAGGCTGGAAGTCGTCGAGTCTGGAAGCGAGACGATTCAAGATAACTCTTGAGAACAGCAACATAGACGCGACTCAGAAGGGATATCGGTCTATAGTTCTTCAAAAAAGCGTTATCGCCTTTCTTGTAGAACAGCCCCAACACACTTCTGCTCCACGCCTCTGGTGTAGCACTACTCTGGAGGACGAAATGAAAGAGCCCCTGAAAGACCACAAGGAGGACCAAGGAGGAGGAGGTTTGTTTTTTTTTTTTTTTGGTAAATCGTGTATTTCGGAAATTACATTTAGATACAAATTACTGAGTAATGAAATATGCATAATATTTGTCGATCTTACCGACGTAATAATAAGAAAATATGAACTGGTGTTTTTCACAAAAGAAAGAACTTTAAAAAAAACCACAAAAAAAATAGTACATCCAGAATCCAAGAATCCCAGAGTCGCAAAATATATCGAAATTTACACGAATTGAATGTCTGAAATAAATATCGAATATCGATATATCGCGATAAAAATATAGATGGTATATGTCGATAATTATATGGTAAAATATCGATATTTTTTGCCCATGCCTAGTGGCACATTTTTTGACAAGGCACAATACACTTTAAATCGTTAAACACTAGGTTGCCTCTTCAGTTTAGTTAACGCCCACATGACACTTCCAGTTCCATCCACACCCTACAATCCACTTGTTTCATTTATTTATTTATTTATTTTATTTATACTCTATTGCAACCTTTAATGGCATTCTCTCCCAGTTAACCCCGGGGCGTGGTGAGAAATCGTGTATATATACACATTTGTGTGTGGGAGAAAAGAGTAAGGAGAATTCTAGAGCTGCGCCTTTGTTTGACTGTTAGATTTGAGGCGAGAACGATAGGGAGTAATATGGTCATATTTTCGAGGGTCAAAAATGTATCTAATGCAGTTGTTAGACAGGCGCTCTAGCTTGTTAAGAAGGTCGTCACTGTTCAAGTCCGGGTAACAAACATCTGCGTAATCAATTAATGGAAAAATAAGCGTTTGCACAAGTAAGAGCTTAATCTTAAAAGGGAGAAAATTCTTCAGACGATAAAGGGTTCGCAAAGTTACAAAGACTTTACGGCTTACATTAGTGACTTGTACTCCCCAATTCATTGTCCATTAGAGAAACAGAGATAAAATGTTTGTTAATATCGTCTGGAGAAATAGTTGTAGTATTGTTTTCTATTTCGTGGACCAATAAGTCCAGTTCAGTACCATAAACGTAATAGGGATTCCCTCTATTCAGTACCACTTACCATAGATAGACTAACGAATAACTACTAGAATCACTGTCAAACAGGTCAGATTTGTAAAATTACCGTGATCTGAATAAAAAATTACACTAGTTTGGTACAAAAATACTGTAAATCATGAAGTTAAATATAGCTTTTTTTACAGTAAATAAAAATACTCCATATTTTTTTAGTATCACATTCTTTCAAAATATTAGTCACTGGATTATTTTTATAAATTTTATTAATAATTATTTGGTAAATTAAATATTTATAAATTTTATTATATAATACAATTATTTTATAGTCAGTAATATTGACATAATATTATTATGACATTACTATATAATATTCAGAACTTATTCCAATAGACATTGCGATTAAATCAGTACTAATCATTAATTTTTACCTCTGAAATTTTTTAGCTGCTAGTCGACATAAACGATATAAAATCACACTATACTATTATTAATCAAACCTACAAATGAATTCACAGTATAACAAAGAAATACGAAATACTAATATATATATATTTTAGTAAATACTAATGTAACTAATATATATAATACTATTATTTACTTTTAGTCGAATAATAATTATATTTTATGAGTCTATCACCCGGTAATAAAATGTTTTGTTGGTGATTTCCCGATTATTATGTATTATTATTCATTTTTATTTATTTACATTCATTTATTTTAATTTAACCAAATACATATTTTTTAACGATAAAATTACTAAGTGTTTTTCATACACTGGTTATTTGTATCAAAGAATATAATAAGTGAGGCAAAATTACAGTGAATCTACTGTAATTGTTGTGCACCTGGCAACACTGACTGCATGATCTTCGAATTATTGATCCACAGAATTGGGGTTTTCAATATCATCCTTCCGACTTGTAAGGGCTAAGGGTATTACAGTTTCTCAGCTCAGCTACAAGTTATGAGGCAGAGTATTTTCTGTGCTTATGATTTTTTCTTGCGACTTACGAATAAGGCTTTCTGCTCTGCTTTGTTGAAGTGAGTTTTAGGTCTTAGGTCAAATCTTAAATATTTATGCTGCACCTATTTATGCTGTAAGTAATTAATCTTATATGTTATATTGTATTAAGATCTTATTTATATGCACTTATATTTATAGAATTCTATTAAGGTTACACAAATTAAGTATAATAATATTTTAAGTTCTGATTTCTTCTTAAAATGGTAAATGTAAATAACTTTAACTTTGGCGTAATTCAATTAAAATAAATTTACGATAGAGAAAAATCACTAATGAATTTATCAATAAGCAGGATTCAGATTTTTTTTTAATTAACATTTGTGATGAATATATTTTCATATTTGTAGTGACATTATATAGTTGTCCACCGACATTTTCTACGCACGCACCAAGCAGATCCAAGATGGAATCTGCAGGAGACTGGTGTCTTATTGAAAGTGATCCTGGAGTATTTACACAATTGATTCAGAAATTCGGTAAGTGATAATAAATTAAAAGATATTGCTTTATTATACGGTAGCATGCGTAGGTTGGGGGGAGGGAGGCGGGTGGAAGTGCTGAACCCCTGTTAGTGGGGGGAAAACATATTTAAAAAACTATGCTTACCTATGCAATATTACTATGGTGATTAGTTATTTAGAATCAGGCAGTGGTGGGGGGAGGCTCTTTCTTAGCACTGCTACACGGCTCTGTTCTGGGTGGTTATAAAAAAAATAACACAAATGCTAAAAATCCTTCCAATATTTACTTCAATGCCTTATTACCTAACTATTAATACCTATTAAAGTTATAACAAAAATTGTACTACCTTATAATAAAGCAAAGCCCATTAAAAAGCCTGTTAACTGTTTTTTTGTCTCTTTTCTTTGTTTTCAAATGGGTTTTAATTAGTAATAAGTAAAGCAATAGCCTAAATAACTATGTCCCTCTGCTGGACATAGGCCTTCTTTGTACAAGTATTAAGGCTTAGATCACCACGGGACCCCACTGCAGATCTGCAGATTGAGAAACTTCACATAATTATCTACAATATTTTTTGTCATCGTAAATATGCAGATTTCTTCACGATTTTCCTTCATAGCTCAGCATATTTGATAAGTCATCACTTGAAATTAAAACTGACTAATTTATGGTGCCTCCATTGGGAAAAGAATTCAGTTTGCTTGAGTACATTGAATTAAAAGCAACCATGCAGCACAGACACGGCTATCACAGCTCTTTAATTTGGCAATTGTAAAACACAAATTAACAGTAATTCTCATCATGCAGGTGCAAAAGGTGTTCAGGTTGAAGAAATGTGGACTATTGATGATGGAATTTTCGAAAATATGAGGTAAGTTACAAATTATTATTAGAAAACCTGCAATTATAACCATATATTTTTAAATTTTAATATCATTTCAATTTCAACAGGCTACTACTCTATATAGCAGACAAAAAAAAATTAATGATAGAGAACTATAAAGAAAAATCGCAAAGATCCAACACAGAGACTCTATGTAGTCTTGTGATCCCTACCCCTAGAGTGAACATAAACACAGAGCCAGAATCTCGCGTCCAAAGTCCTGAGTGGAGCAAGTCCTCGGGGTGGAGGTCCAGTGGGTGAAGCGACACTCAGGGGCGAAATAGCGAGAGTTCTTGCAAAGCGCATGGAAGTGCCAAGTTTAATAATGAATTAATAATTTTTTAATATTTCTTACATTCCATTAATTTATTAGTAATTTTTCTCTACTGTTAATTTTCTTTTGTTTGCTATATCGAAGTAGTAGCCTGCTAAAATTTTATGTTCATTTCTAATAGATTAAATTTTAAATGAGGAAATAAAATTAAATTGATCCATACATAATTTGTTTCAGACCAGTTCATGGATTAATATTTCTATTTAAATATCTTCAAGACAATGAACCTCCTCAACCGATAGTTACAGATGATCGCACAGAAAAAATTTACTTTGCAAAACAGGTCAAATTTATTTATTTTAATATTTATTATCTTTGGACCAGATAAATGACCAATAATCTATACATATAATAAAAATGTAACTTATGAAAAATAATATTTGGGGCTTTATAAACTTTTGTCAGTTTGTCTGTGCGTTTGTTCGAGTTTATCACAGAAACAGCTTAACAGATTTTGGTACAACTTTCACTAATCCATTGTAGTAAGCTTCACTTAACATTTAGTGTTAGTTTTATTTAAATTTGTTCATAAATAATAGAAATATCTACTAACAAAATAACTACTTAAAGATTCACATTGAAGTTTTGTGTGTCAAATGCTAAATAATAGCTTCGGTTAAATACAATGAAACTATATATTATAGTCTGTAAAATGATGATCAGAACTATATCAGCTGGGCTCTGTCATATAGCTGTGTGTCGAAATGCGCTCCCAGCGATATTTCTGCCAGTGCGTAGCGGGACTCTCTCGACCAGCAGCTTGGGCACATTAAAATGCAATAACTTTGCAAAACATGACATATACAATTTTTTTTGTACAACCAACTTCCTTAGGTTTGATTTGCCCCTGGATCTGCTAAACAGGAAATGAGCCAGGAATGAAAGGAAATGCCGATAAGGACTTGAACCACACCGCAATTTTTAGTAGTGACGTGATGGCCAAAAATAAGAGGATATCCATACTAAAATTATAAAAGTGAAGAATTTGTTTGAATCTCAAGGACTAAGAGTCCGATTTGAAAAATTCTTGCACTGTTAGATAGTCCATTTATTGATAAAAGCTATAGACTACTTTTTAAGCAGAACATAAAATGTAGTACATGTGGGCCGAGCCGTGGACGAAAAGCTAGTTAGTGCCCCAATATAATGGTGGTTATGGGTCATTTATTTCATTCAAAAATAAAAGCTCATACTTAACATAACTTTTATTTATGTAAACAATGTAATAATATTTTATTTAATTTAATGAGAAATAGATGAATGGTGTATAATATGCAATATATTTTACTAATATGTATTAATTTGCAGGTGATTAATAATGCATGTGCTACACAAGCTGTTATTAGTCTATTGTTGAATTGCAATCATCCAGATGTTGATATTGGTCCTGAATTGACAAAGCTGAAAGAATTTAGCATGTCTTTTGATCCAAAAATGAGAGGCCTTACATTAAGCAACTCTCATACCATCAGAACTGCACACAATTCAATGGCTCAACAACCTATATTTGAGTTTGATACTAAAGTTGCTACTAAAGTGAGTTATTGTTTTTCATATTCTAAAGATTGCTATATTACCTAAAACAAAATTACAAAACAGTTTTAATGTTTTAGGATGATGATGCTTACCATTTCATTGGCTATATGCCAATTGATGGTAGGCTATATGAATTAGATGGACTCCGTGATGGGCCTATTGACCATGGGGCTGTAGCTCCAGAACAAGATTGGCTGGATGTTGTCAGACCAATAATAATGAAAAGGATCAATGTGTAAGCTTTTATGAATAATCTTATTATTCTACAATATGAGTACTGTGATAAGATTGCATTTGAAATTAAAATAAAAATGTATTAAAAATATATGTACATAGGAATAATCAAAGTGTAATATAATATATATGTATAATATAATATATATATGTAGTATAATATATCTGAATTAACTTTAAAAAATATTTTATATACCTATCTCTATTCTAAGTTAAAGTGTATTTATTAATTAAAAGGTAATAATGGCACTTTGAAAGTGAGCTGCAGTCATGAAGACTTCTATTGAATTCATGATACATACTTTCTTGTTTTTGTAGTAGTTGTCACTTGAATAATACTTGCAAATCAAATTAAATTTTTATGTCTTTTGGAAAGCCATTTAAAAGTTATTTCATACTGGTTATAATTTTAATATACAGTAATGTCTATGCAAAAAACTAAAACTTTTAGAGCATAAATCACACCTGTTTTCATGTTTCCTGGCAATTATATTTACTGAGATATTTTAGGTGCTTTCTAATATGTAATGTTATTAAGTTATTTGACCTTTTGTTTATATTACAGAATTGTTAGTTTTTGTTAATATCTTTTATTATAATGACACTAAAATAGTAATGGACTGTATAATTAATCTATTTTGTCTATTTTTAGGTATACTGAAGGCGAAATTCATTTCAACTTAATGGCACTTGTATCTGACAGGAAAATGATATATGAACGTCAATTACAAGAACTTATTAATGAGACGCAATTAATAAGTATTCAAACTACCGATGTGGAAAATGAAATCCAGAGGCTGAGAATGTTAATAGAATACGAAGATGTGAAAATGGCCAGATATAAACAAGAGATGATAAGACGAAGGCACAATTATCTGCCTTTTATCATAATGCTTTTGCAAATATTAGCTGAAGAAAAGAAGCTGATGCCTCTGTATGAGAAGGCTAAGGAGCGCGCTCTTAGAAAGGGTACGAAGAAAATGAAAGTATAACAGGAACAGTGGGGGGGCACGCGGGTAGCGCGCGTTCGCCCCACCCGCCGCCACTCCCAATCTAGCCCCTCCCGAGTGCTACAAAATTTAGAAGATATGCAAATTTCCTTAGCTGATTTAAATAACATTTTTTCTGAACCACAGTGTTTAATGCAGCAACCTATTGAGCCCCAAATACCAGTGGCTACAACTTCAGTAGACACTACAGCTAGAGACAATTTAAATAGGTTAATAGAGTCAGATGACTTTCTAAAAGATGGTTATTATGCAGAACATTTTCTTCGTGAACATTATTTCGATGATAATTTACTTACTGGAGATCTCCTGGGGGACGGTAGCTCTGTACAAGACCTTCTAGGGAGTAGTGTTACAGATGATATTCCAATGGAAACAAATCAATCCGAAGGTGATCTTAGAGAGTAAAAGTTCACATATATTTATAGCATTTAATGACAATAGTTAATGATTTTTCAAACAATTTTTTATTTACTTAAGTCTGAGGACTGTGTGTGCATTGTGTACTTACTTGAAAATATCTTTATTCAATGCATGAATAATGTAATTTATTATAATAGTGATGGCCCATTGAGTACATTTATTTGATTGTATTGATTGTGCTTGCAGGTATTTTCGTTGGATTTTTGCTTAATATATATTTTTAAAAAATTATTAATTGTAATAATAGCTTCTCTAAATTAATAAGATTTGTATGTATCCTTCATTGAGATTTGTTTATGATAAAATAATAACTAGTTATTGTAATTTGCTATATTGTATTCTTATAATAAAAATACGATTTAATATGTAGAATTATATTTAAATATGTGTATATGCAAGAAAATTGTATACATTTTGCAAGCAATTATTCCAGACAATGTTAGCTCATCTTTTAAGTATAGCTTCAGTATTGCTTGAGTAATTGCTTGTAAGAAAATAATATTTAACATTTTCAATTCTTAAAGAGATAATTACCGGCAGTGCTAGGCTCTTGTAGGACTGTAAGGAACATAAATGTTACACAAGGAAAACCTTTTGATTCTATTTAAATTTGTTTTAAATGTAAGTTACATTTAATCATCTGGTAGATCAGTCATCTTGGTAGATATAAGATTTTTAATTGTAAAACATAGGACTTCAGTAATGTTGCTTAATGCTTTGTATTATTAAAATTCTTTGTAGGATCTGCCAGGTACTTATCAGGTACTTTATACATGTTTGACACTTAGCAAGCATTAATGTATTGAAAAAATAAAGACGATTTGCCTACATGCATGTAGTTAGACTTGTAAAGTATATTTATTGCACCTGTAGCAAATAATATATATCTTCTTTCAATAGTAATAAATAGTAGAAGCCTCTGCCAATTTGGATCAGAGTTTATTATAGCAGTAGGTTTGCAGTGTTTCATATTCATCTTATCAATCAATTTATATATAGACATTATTTACACCTTATTACAATTTAAACTTATAATTAAAATCGTAAACCTAATTAACGATGGATTTTCATGTATTAAGATATGAATAATAAATTAATGAATTTAGTGTGTGGTGGCATGTTGGCAAAAGTGGTAGACATCAAGTTATTTACAAAAAATAGACATTGACACAAAGAAAGAGACAATGCAGTGGAAATTATGTATGATGGTTGTTTGACACATTATTTACAGAAAAACTGTCGAAGATATTTATAACCATATTGAGTGATTATTTGCCTACAATGTTCTTTGTCATTACATGGATTCATGTTGCAATTCTACTTGAGATTACAATAAACTTTCTTCAAATTTATTTTTTGTTTCCTCTTTATTCTATGAGAATATTTCACCTTTTTCAGTATACCCTTAGTTGAAAAGAAAAGAAAAAAACGGTTAAAGCAGTCCCAGTAGACAGTCAAAGCTTTGACCACCTTAGATGTATGTATTTGCATATTGGGTGATGGATTTGCAATAGAATATATGGATTCGAATCCACATAATGATTGAACAGAGGCTAAGTAGGTTAATTCTGTTTAGTGAAGAGCTGGCTTCACGTGTTGGATTGTAGGCCTTTGGGCTTGATCATCATGGAGGCTCGTTTTAGAGTGTAGTCCCAGCCTCTCCAGCGAAACCACACGATACCTGTAATTCGGTGATTAATTTAGATGTTTCAAAGCAAGCCTTCACTTATAAAAACCAAGATAGGTAAGACATAGACAAAATAAGAACACTATCCGTTTATAGAAAATGAATTGTCTTGAGTGCCAAAGAAAAATTATTTGCCTCATAAATTTTCCCACATCAAAAAGTATTTTGAAGATTAAAAACTATATAAGATTTTAATAATCTACTATACTAATAGATAGTATTTCCAGTCTGAAGATAGACCCTTTTTATTATATATTACACATATTAGAAATACATTAACTACAACACATCAGTTACATGCCTAAAGTTTAAAGTAAGTATTTATTGTAGTGATGACCCAACAATCCGATCAAAATAGGACGGCATGTCTGGTAAAGGTTTTTTTTTTAGTTCTAAGGGGTTTTCCGAGGGTCGAAAAGTCGTTATTTTCACTGGGTCTATAACGTAATACGTAACGAGAATATATAACGTAGGTAGTTCATCATATTGTGCTTGATATTTTTTACCCTGTTAGCTTTAGTGAAGTGACTTATAGCATTACCTTGTCGAGCGGTAAGATCTTGTGGGTCATGCAGGTAGAGACCGTTCAGGCCGCGTCCGCAAGACTTCCACCACCAGCCGCCTTTAAGCATTGACGCGCAATTCAACGACGATCGGTCATTATCTCTGAAAGAAATTTTAAATATAATGTTGCTAGAGATTTCAGTATCTAATATATATTATAAAGATGTTACATGCTCTTTGTGTCCTCAACCTTTATTCAGTGTAGTTTTTGACAATTCCAGTTTAAATATTTAACTCAAATGAAAAGCGGTAGGAATAATTTATTTTTATATTTTTAACAAACTTTTGCGAAATACTCTTAATCGATAAATTATTTCATAACATGTCCTTACACACGCACAAATCAGTGGCTTCTCAGGGTTAAATTCGATAATTCCTAAAAATTTATCAAGTAAAATTAGTAAAGTAACAGCCTATACATGTCCCACTGCTGGGCAAAGGCCTCCTTTATACAGAGGGTAAAAATTTATAAGGCATGATAATAATGTATGAATACAACAAGCCATTGATATGCAAAAGCAACAAAGTAGAGAATTGCCTTCACTGTCAAATACGACATTGATGCTACGCTCTGTGAGAAAACTGGTGCTTTTATTGCACATATGTACGTAGAAACTGGAGTCATCTGTTTGTTCTTTTTTTGCTATATTTCTTTAAATGATATGTAAGTATATAAAAATATTATTTTAATGCAAAAGAATACCTGTTGTAGGTGGAGAACGGGCTATTGTTAGACCCATACCAGGGGTCGTTAAGTGAATCACCAGCATTACCCTCGTATCCGTCGATTTCTAACTTGTAATATTCCGCTTCGGAATATATTTTGAAGTGCGAATACTGTGCATATCTGCAATAATAAAATTTACAACCTATATATATATATGTACTATTACCTAAAACATGTTTTGACTGCCACACTTGGAGACAAATTGCCAAATTATATTTTAGCTAAATGGTTATGGACGTCTGAGGCAGCCGCCATAGGCTATGTGATATATATGAGTATATGTGATACGTATATAGGTATAAAGGTCAGAATAAAGAAGGATCTGTATTGTTAGGTATATACATAATTAAAGAGTAATTATTTTTTATTTTTATGCATCCTCTACGGAAATAAGTAGATTATAATAAAAATCTTTTAAAACCTCTTATTGCCGTCGAAATCTTCAAGTTCAACTCTTAGCATGTAGTCGTCGTTGTTTGTAAGCATGTAGATGTTTTCGTTTCCGAGCCAGAACTCTTTGTTGGGATCACCGAATCCGTTTTTGTAATCGCTCCAATCGCGGTTGAAATTTTCCGCTGGGACACCGTAATCGTCGCGGCGATGGATTACCTGTTTCACACGGAAAACAAACCAAGAAATTTTCGACTATCTAGCGATGTTTAGAACTATCTTTAAACATCAAAACTCGCCAGCTTGGAGCCAGGTGAAAGAGGTAAGAATACTCTTTTTTGTGGTAGGGCACGCAACAGTCTTCGTTGTTGCACGAATGGGAAGGTCAGTCCGGGTAAATACCGAGACCTCACAGAAGACAGGCGTGAAGTCGAAGTGTTATACTTCTGCGTTTCTTCTGGTGAGTGAGGTAGCCGGGGCCCACTTTATCATAAGGTGGCAACGCAACTCAAAATCTACGAGTGTTGCAAATGTAAATGGGCGACGGTTGTCACTTAAAATCAGATGAACCACCATCTCATTTGCCACCTTCTCACAATAAAAAACATACTCCGGTTGTTATTTATATAGAATCGGTATTATTTCATAACAGGCGTAAGCGACAAGTATTTCTGCCGCTTTTTGCATAAATAAGGATCAGGGCGTTGGTTAATTTCCACCTAAAATCCTAAGCACAATTTGGTCGCCACATATTGATAATGATACTTTTAATGACAAGGATGTTAGAAATTCCGCTATCTCTATACAACTAATAGTTGTGATATCTATATAAAATATTTTTCTATGAAATAGAACATACCACTGAATATTGTCCACGTGAAATTTATGTATGTAAAATGTCCATATTCCGGGTTTTATTTTTATTTTGTTATGTGGTGGTTTAACTGTGGTAGGACCACGGAATAGTGAATGCGCGTAACGAATGAGGTAGTCGGGGCCCACTTTATTATCAGGTGACAATGAATCTGCAACCACACGGGTGTTGCAACTGTCCACGGGCGGCGGTTATCACTTAACATCATGTGAACCGCTAGCTCGTTTGCCACTTTGTCACATAAAAAAATATTTGATTATGTTATCCTACAGTAAGGGCTATGTTTTAATAAAAAAGATGATTTACAAACATATGAGCGTTTTATTTTCAATGTTATTATTCAAATGAATCATAATACATTTAAACTTACTGTCCAGCCGCCATCAGCAACGTTTTGTTCGCAGAACACCTTTAGAAACCAGTAGGTAGTGCCTCGGATTTGCAGATAGTAAACACCAGAGTCCCGCATTCCGGCATTCAGGAGGTCAACGCATGAAAAGCCCTGGAAAATGTAGTATTCCGTTGTTGATAATCTACTGTGTATAAGAATTAAGAGTTCGCTGCATACATGATTTACTCTTACGCAACGCTCCTGTCCGGTCGCAATAGCTTTGGTAATACACGTTCGCTTCGCGTTCAAATATTATTATTATTTAAAATATAACATTTTATGCATATATACAGAATTATTCGCTGTAAAGGTTGCTGGTACACCTTCCAGTAAACCATTTGGAATCGATCATCTATATCTATAAAAATGAATCCCTATTTCCCTTGGTCACACCATCACTCGTGAACAGCTGGACCGATTTCACTTTTTTTTTGTTGTGTTTGTTATTATCAGGAAAAGGTTCTTATGAAAGAAAAAAATTAAAAAATTGCCTGAAAAAGTCTACAAACAACTCTTCCATATCATCGTACAAAAGATTCGTAATAATACTTAAAAGTCAATTTGTAGCCTAGTTCAATATAATAATTACAGCCTTGCTTTAGATTAACTTCTTTTTCCTTTGGGCAATTGTGTTTTATAAGATTACGGAAAAGTTTATATACTGAAACTAGTTTTTAATATCATGTATATTTTAAAAAGGTAAGACGCTTTTGTTTATAATTGTTCAATAAAAAAAGGAAATTATTAGTACTTATTACATGTATAAAAAATGTAACTAAATATTTTTATTTTTATTTATTCAATTGTACTGGTAATGTATCTCTTACATTTTTTAAATAAAAACCTATTTTACCTTATGAAAGCGATGTAGCTAAATATGTAAATAAATAGAGATTATTAATACTATTAAAATCTAGATAAAAAAACTCTAGAACACATAAGGACTAAGCCCGACCATAGAGATTTACTAGGTGGGAAAATTAAGAAGGTTTATTTGAGACTCGTTTCCTAAGTCTCCTCTGTCTCGGTATCTATATTTAATCGAAAACTAAATAATATAATAAGATATTCTAACTTTATGACCATTTTTTTTAAATGAACTTAAATGAATGTTATCGTCCAGTTCTGTATTATGTTTAGAATAAAATATATATATATCGGTTTCAGATAAATCGCTGTTACGTAATGCTCTCTCGCTGCTCTCCTTAAGAACGGATCATTAAAATTCCCATTGTGAGTATTGCGGAATAGTATTCCTTTCCTTTCGTGGCCGTGGAATTATCGGTTTGTTTGTTAATAAATAATGAACTTTTCTTTCCGTTCAAAACGTGCATGTTGCAAGTGATGTTTACACGAGCGGTAAGACGCTGGATGTTTGCTCGGAATAATTAGAAAGCGTCTGCTTTTTTTTTAAATCTGAAACACACGCAACTCCAGTTTCACATTATTGCTGATATGCAAAAGCGTGGTGAATAAATAAAAATAGAGCGATCTTATTAAGTAAAGTACTATACTGTTTTAGATAATCTTAATTATTAAAATAATTATGAAATTAGGTGGTAAAGTTTATTACATGTAACTGAATTAAATGTAATGTAAATATGTCATAAAATTTTCATGACGAAATATGACGATGACATCGGTATACGTAAAATATTCCATTTCAAATATTATGTTAAAAATTATAGTAACAGCCTATACATCTATACGCTAACGCCTATACCTCTGTTGGGCAAATTCTGTCACTCTCAGTCACCTCCTCTGTACAGAGGATATCAGGGCATAGTCCATCACGCGGCCCCACTGCGGATAGGCGGACTTCACATATTTTCGAAATATTTTTTTTTTATACTATTTCGAAAGTATGCAGGTTTCCTCACGATGTTTTCCTTCACCGCTGAGCACGTGATAATTCACCACTTAAAATTGACAATTTCATTGATGCACCAAGGATCGAACTCAGGTTGGTCGAGTATATTAAGTTAAAGGCGAGCACCCGGACGCTGAGCTATCACGGCTATATATTACTTATAATATAAATATTATTTACATTTCAAATATTTTTCTTGCATATGCTGAAGTCACTCATTTAAAAGATAAATAATACTAATTTTATTAAATATCATTTATGTGTACATAAAGTACGTCCCAGAATTTTCAATACGTCGACAGCGAAGGCACTGTTTATACCCGTATTTTTATGGCGCGCAAAAATAATTCAAACTTGTATCTTGGTATATTACCATACTTGAATTTTGCGCAACCGAAAGCAATGCACTCTCGATATATTTTTCTACAAATTATTTTCTGTTCACTTGAACGGTTCTGATATGATGTCTTTTGCTGAGGCATTTTTTTTGCTGCATTCAGAGGCACTAAGAGGCCTGTTGATACTAAGTTGTATTATATGGTTTCATTGGGATATTCACTTTAAAATATTTATTCATTAAAACGCACATAAATTGATTTTAATAAAATTTAGGTTTTCCCGTCTCAATGTTCTGCTATTAGTAGACATGCTCAAGTACTAATACTTTAAATAGAAAACTTATCTCGATAAATATACATCACAATATTTGCAAGCTTTTGACTACTTCAAGGCAAATGTAGCTTCAAAGTTACAAGATATAGCAACCAAACGTACGGAACGCCCGAAGGGGGAAGCGGCGCACGGCGAATATTAAATCAAAGCTTTACTACTATACTTTGGCTACGAATCAAACGAAAATTATTTAATTAAGCCTCATCTATTGTAATAGAAATGAAATCTGATGTCATCAATTGTAGTAGAATGGAGAATTGAAATTCAACTCTGGTTGCTTTTGTACATACACTACCAAAATGTACGTCTTGAAGATAGTTGGGTTTATCTATACCAAGGATGAGCAACGCGCGGCCCGCGGGCCGCTCGCGGCCCATTAAACATGTTTATGCGGCCCGCCAAGCCTTTATAAAATTGAATTTATTTTATCGAATTTCTCCCATCAATATATTGTTATAAAATTTATTGTAATAAAATGGTAGTACATAATGAACCGAAATATTTTTTGTTCGTATTTCTGTTCTTTTCTTGTTTGTTTTTACCTTGCATTAAAATTTGTGTATGAAATCTTTATTTTTTTTTATTTTATATTTTTTATTCTAATATTTATTATAAATAAAGTTTAGAAAATTATTATGTGCGGCCCGCCAAAAAATTTGAAATTTAAATTGGCCCATTGATTAAAAAGGTTGCTCACCCCTGATCTATATCTATACTATATTATAAAGAGGAAAGATTTGATTGTTTGTATGTATTGAATAGGCTCCGAAACTACTGAACCGATTTGAAAAATTCTTTCACTGTTGGGAAGCTACATTATCCCCGGTTGATATAGGCTATATTATATTTTCATAAAAAAATAGGGATCCTTAACAAAAGTTCAATAATGTAACACAAAGTGTACAAAAATTACCTAAAATATTTTTACATCGCGTGCGCTGCGAAAACTATTGATGATAGAATAAAGTAATGTACGACGAATTTGCAGAACACATCATTATTTCCAAAAAGTGGCGCGAGAGCATATCTCTATCTATTATAGTTATGCCACAATAAATGTTCTTTTATTTTAAAATTTTGATTGAAATGCCGCCGCTAGAAAAGGGTCGTGTTCCATAAAAGCTTTGTCACTGGAAACATGCATTATTTGTGATAAAAATTGTCGTTAGAGATGTATATGGATTGTAAATACGTCATTAAGATTGCAGATTTTGTGACGATAAGCACACTGTACTTATTGGTATGAGTAAGTGTTTGGTGGGAACGGCCGGTTTTTGCGCGCTCAAAGCGTCTCTTCGTGTGCATGAACTAGATTAAACTTTGACGTAGCACTAGTTTCCGTATATACTTATATATTTTATCTAACCATCAGCGACTTCGGAGACAAGGAATATAAATGGAATAATAACCTTGTAAAATTCATCAAAGACAACTTTACTTGGTATAGTTGTAAAGAGTTTCAGTAAGTTTGTTACAGTTTATATTGTTTAGTTTATTACATTACAGTTTGAGGGACTATGGTTTCAGTACAATGAAACTATTAAAAATCTAAAATGCAGCGCAGTATTTTTTTAATCTGAAATAAAAAATATTTTCAAAATTCTGTAATATCACTTGTCACATTACGCAAGTGATAGTTAAGGAGAATATAAAGCATAGCAGTCATAAAATAAATAGTTATTGCTTAATGATTGAAATGCGCAGTTAGCAAATACAATACAGGATGTAGAATTTGGAGTTAAGTGAGTGGTAAACTTAAGTCAAAGTATTGCGTACTTGTGTTCCTTATTGCCTAACCAGGGGACATAAATGGTTCTGTACCGATGCCGATAGATTAGGTACGTTCATTTCACTTGCAGTGGCGGCGACCGGCCAGCAATGGAGTTGATTAAAATTCCGAAAACAGAACTTAGCTCCATTTGTATCAAGTAGAGTGGAACCTGTTTATTGGATATATACTGATTTAAGCGGGCACTTAACTTTCGAAGTAGAGCCACAAGTTAATTTTTAGTCGGTCCGTTAACATGGAAATGGTTATGTATCAAGGAAGTTAAGTTACTTTATTTAACGTTTTAAACCAGGGAGAGAGTTTGATGTGCTGAGTGTTCGAAAAATGTGAATATAAGTGTAAATTTTTATATTCTATTTTACAAAATTTTGTACAACTATTATAGTTACCAGTAAAGTAAAGAAAATAATATGGTGATACTTTAACTTTTATCTTGTAGTATCGCGAACTTACGTGACAACTTTTATTGCATAATGAAATATAAAAGCACGCGCAAACATCAGTATACAGTTTTCAGATGTATATCAATCGCTTAGGTGTTTAGTATTATTAGACGTACATTAAAGATTACGTTTAACAGCGACAGCTGTCACACAGAATGCTCGCAGTATATTATTTTATATAACTTTAACTCACTTTCACATCTTTATAGTTGGCGACGATCTCTGAGGCGAAAGTGTTATTGCCGATGATGGGTTTGTTCTTAACGCTTGGAAAGATGATGCCGCCTTTGCGGGTGGCAGGACGGGGACCTGAACTAGCGGCACCCGGTGCCACCGTGCTACTATTTGCGCTGCCGACGCCCGCCGCCACCATGGTTACGGGCGTGTTTGTTCCACTCGAGCCGCTGGGACTGCTGGAGCTGCTCGGAGTGTTCAAGCTGCATTCGACATAACCATTAGACACTGTTTACGTAAAAAAAAACAAAAGCGCCACGGAATGTCACACATTAAATCATTCGCAACAGCTTTGGATAGCGCTTGAAATTCGCTCGCATAGTTATATTATACGCAATGCAACAGTTATTTAGAGAGATATCACCTGTTATTTATTGTGGACGAGAAGGTTGGAGGAGTGGTGGCCGCGACAGTGCTCGTGTTTGGGTCCGTTGAGAGCTCGTCGTATCTGTATCTATTGGGTGCATATTCCACAAGTCTGTCGATGGTAGGATCCAGGAGCAGTTCCGCTGGCACGGGCCTTTGTGCTAGTGTCGCAACATCATCTTCTTGTTTCTTAAGGCGCTTTTCCACCATATCCAGATTTTCAATAATAAGATTGGTTTTAACTCTTAAGTCATTGTGAATCTGTCCAATTGCTCGCTCTTGTCTTTGCGTTTGAGTTAAAAGTTCATCTGATTTGGGTACCAAATCGTCGACAGAACTCTTGGTGCCCACGACGACATCCCATACTTCGTCCATTTTCTCTGAAACGCTCATCATGGGAATTATTTTATTAACGAGCGTATCTATCTTACTGCCTTTTGTTATTGGTGATTGAGTACTTGTGGTCGTCCTATTTTTGAATATGTTATTGACATTAATTGAAGCGGAGTCTGGCTCTACTATAGCCGCGTGTACGTCTGCCATCATGTAGAGAACTTTTCCTAAGTTTTCGGAAACAAGATTAATATGAAATTGTAATTTTCGATCAACGGTAGACATTGAAGTTCTCAGCTGATCCACTTCTTTAGTTATTGTATTAACTACTTCTGTATTTAGGCCTTTGGCTATCTCAACGACGTTTAAATTTATAGGTTTCTTTTCACTGGCTTCTGCGTTGATGTCGTCAACTGGTAAGAAATTGTTATCAATTTGGTTCTTTAACCCTACCAATTTTGAGTCAATGTCTGATACCTTTTGATCTAAGGATTCCAATTTTCTGTCAAGTAATTGTGCGTCACTAAGTCTGTTTTCATTCTTCCTTTTAACGTTTCTTTCAGTGTATGCTTCATCTTCACTTTGGCTGGGTTGGCTGAATAATTTTAAATCGAGGTTCCCCAATTTCGATATGATAGCGTCGGTCTTATGAATGTTGTCATTGACACGGGAATCTAATGCTTCCACTCTCCGCATTAAGTGTTCGACTGCTTTATCTAGGTTTTCTATTCTTTGTAGCTTTGTCTCCAATGTACTTACAATGACTTCAAAGACGTTAAATATGTATTGTTCCCTGAAACAAACAATAACTTATTTAGATAAATTAGTAAAAACTTTTAAAGATAAAACAGTCAGTTAACAAGTTTTATTCAACAATTGTTTTTTAAAGTGGTTTAGGCAATATTGGTGACATTACATAACATGCAAAGTGCTACAATATTATGGATATTCAAAATCGTATTCTAATGTCTGATAAAGAAATTTATAGAATTTGTATACGAGTAAAATTGCTAAACTTATAATCATACTAGCGGATCAAATAGACGTTAAATAAAAATTCGGTGAATCCGCCAACTTAATTAGATAAATGTAAAAGAAATAAAAAAATATTTTAGTGGATTGAATTGTGAATCTAAGCCATTCTGGACACACAATAAAATCATAAATTGTTTTAGGAGTTTTGTCACATACACACGCATTGAAGAACTATATGATAAATATAAAGATTACTTAAAACCTATTTTAACTAGGTTATAAGTAATAATTGGAGACCCAACTTTTTAATTTTTTAAGATATAGGATAACTTACCGAGTACAAAATCACAAAATACTGACAGATTCCGCTGACAAATATCGGCCGAGAGATAGAAAACCTGCCCATTAAATGATTTATAAATAGTAATCGGTAAGTTTTACAAATAAGTTTATGGGGAACAAATGATGCGAAAATTGATTCTCTACGATAATGGTCTGTATGACATTTTCCCTAAAGTGCAGTAGATTCCGAGACGTCGGCCAAAAACGTTTTTCATGGTGGCGTCTGAATTGATCATATCCTCAGTCAGTATAAAACTTATTTAAAAAAAAAATTGGGTCGTTATTTAGTGCAAAGCTTAGGTATATTTTTACTGGCCTGATACTCGTAAGTTAACGTGTAACGAAAGAAGATATTTTTCACCGATTATATTAAAATAAAATACTAACAAAAGACGGTGTTCATGATGTTCAATGGCGTGAAATTGTCATACCTGTAAGTTACGCAAGACGAAAATAGAAACCTTACACACGCGCGCCACATAACATGAGGCGCATAGAGTTATGATATCTGCAGATACACCGTTATAATTTTTTAAATTTGTTACACCTACGTTTTATATATTTGAGCTCTAGTAATGTACTGGGAATTGACAATTATTGCCAAGCGGCGTATGCCACACTAAATTAAATACAAAGCATATAAATCTCTTACGTTAATACAAACCGTACCTAGTATTTAATTTTTTTTATAATCTGTTTAATCTATTTTTGTTTCACTACATGTGAAATATAGTTGCTTATTTAATAAAATAAGCAACTATAAATATAATTAAGATAAAAGTATAGTTTCTACGTGTGTGCGGTGTATTTTTAGCAGACTAATATCTATTAGATATTTAACACGGCCTAAGTGATAGGTACAGTACAGTCGAAGGATTGAATGATAATCGTCTACATTCAGTGTGTCTTTATTGTTAGTGTGATATAAAAATAACAATGCATATCACCGTTAATGACTCGGACGCTTTTGTATGTAAATCGTACGCGTTCCGAATACGACGCGCGGTGAGCGATAGTTAGAAAAAAATAATAGAACTCAGTGGGCCTAACATTTCACAAGACGCGTGTTATCTAAGCCGAACGATGAAATTCCATTTGTACAAATCTCATTCCGTTATTAATGTTACCCTTGCGGAAACAGTGATTTGCATATTTTGAGTTTACTGTCTTTTTACATGTTGAGAACTTGTTTAAGGATAACAACAAGAAGTTATTTAATTAACGTCTTTTATAACGTCTAAAACTGCGGCGCGATATACAGGAAGAACTTTAATGTCATTGCAAGCAATTGAATACAGCTTCTAAAATACTAATCATATCTTAAAACGTAATAAGCAATGAAATGTCTTGCCTTATTTTCTGAATACGTCTATTGAATACATAAATTGAATAGCAAGGCTTAACGCATCGACTTATAAGGATCGATCGTTATGGATCATTGCTAGACGTTAGTCGGTTAAATGGTTCATAGGTATGCTGTGATCACTATAAAAATTTATGAAGGCATGCTATTTTATATACTAAGTAAAGTTTAATTATTCCCTGAATCGCGGCCCGTAGCGCAATAAGCAATCAAAGTTTTACGCAGCCGATATAAAGTTAAAGCAATTCAAAACATAATTTAATACATGCTTTATTTAAGTTAGCACTCGGCACGCCGTGGCGTGGCCAACATTAAACGGTTAACGCAGTCACTGTTACGCAAATGCGTCTTAAAATTACACTGCCTGCAAAATGGAGCGATCGGACAGTGCTTACTTTATCAAATCGACCGCTCGCTGCAACCTGTCGCAACCGTTTATATAGATTATCCGAGCAGCTGAATTTCTTCTTGACATCGAAGTGCCTATGCACCAGCTTTGCACGGCAGGTATTACTTATTTCGAAGTTTTGAAATTCGGACCCAATTCAGCCGTAAAATACGACTGAGCGGCGACAGCATTAAGCCTCCTACGTAATACATTTGTAAGACACAATTCTGCTTCGCTATCTTGCACTACCCACGTTTAATTGTTTAATTCCTTACAAATTGTTTGAATACGATCATACAATCAATTAGCTCGGTAGACGCGGGAGAAGCCAAAGCTTTTAGACTTCGAGTATTGTGCAATGTATATTCCAATGTTAGTATTTGCTGGATTTGTTTCGGTGGTGAGGATCATTTATTCTGATAGCATGGTTGTTGAGTATACGTAACCTGAAGTTAAGAATGACAGTCCTAAATACATATTCGAAATTTATGCCCTTATCCCGCCTAGGTGGGGTCAGCACAATAACGTGAATCATGTAGTTTATGGTATTAGTTAGGTTTTTTCAACCTGCCGGCTGTCTGACTTCATCCTTACCTGGAAATAAACAAAAGTAATGTCCCGTGTGGAAATGAAACCCATGCCCTGAGTAGCAGGTTAGACGCAGTGATACGTTCTACCAACCAGGCCATTCAGGCAACTACAGCCTGGATCTATTCTGGTAGATTACCCTGTTATGTAAGGAAATTTTAAATACATAAAATTGACGTAGGCAAACACCCAGATTCGAAACAATTACTGTGGTTCACATAAATAGTTGTCCTGTGTGGGAATCGAACCCACGACCCTCTGTGCCAAAGCCAGTGCCGCGGAGGCATCTGAATAAATCTCTACAGCCCGATATTATAAAGGTATAACATTTACAAGGTGTTATTGATAATTAAATAAAAACAGTTATCAAAGAATCTATACATCGATACATGATAAATAAAGCAATAAACAAAATAGAGTGGATGAATATAAATAATATTGTAGTTATTCCGCTCTGAATGTGCCGATCACCTGCCTACTGTAAAGTTTTAATACTTATTTTAATTGGAAACTTTATGATTTAAAATATCCAAAAAATATAATCGCCGCAGGGTTTCTCGCCGACTCTCTGAAGAAATATTCGAGCAATTGATGTTCAAATCACGATGTCGGCATCTATGAGATTGCTAATTGCAAGTTTATGTAATAATTTATTGGTGCACACTGATGAAGAAAACTTAGTGTGATAAAGACAGGGAAGGTCCAATTATCCGCAGTATGGATAGGATATTATAGACTGTAGTTATAATCGTCACATTGATATAACGATGATATGTACCAATTCGTACGTAATATCATCAATAATACAACAAAATATATCCAATGTCCAGAAATAAATATACTTTAGAAATAAATAACCTCAATGCTGTGATATTGAATTACACTTCATTTGATTACTTTACTGCAAATGGAAACTTGAAAATCTTATGCACTTATTGTTTTACGAATAGACAAATGTAGCTAATCATATTTACATTTTACACACTCAGTTCCCCACCCTTAACTTAGGGCTGGAAAATTAGATTGTAATCGGTCGGATTATATGACAGTTGGTAGCCCTAACTGCAGATCTGTATACTTGCGCGCTAACGATCCGAATGTGGCTCACGGCCTCGCGCATTGTATGGTTAGAGATATGATTGCGGGCAGTTGGGCGGCACAACGCTTTGTCGTGGACCAATGTAAAATGAACATTATTTCTGTTATACGGGATAAGTAGCTATAGATACCACTACCTTCACTTTTATTGCTTATTTGTGATGCAAAGGAAGATACATTTATATACATAATTATAGAATTAGCTCTTGGTCATGACGGAGTTTCCATAGCAATAGTGGTAAAAACTTTTGTTATATCTGAACGTTAGTTCGGTACTGGTGACAGCTG